TTTTTTTTGGTCGGTGGGTAGAAAATGGGAGTGGGGAGCATAAGGAGATTGAGATTGAGGACGCGCCAAAGTTTCCGACGAGCGCGTCACCATATTCATGTCCGAAGAAATTTGATGACGAGGAGGATGGAGAGAAAAAGACGCAAATGCCCCCGGCGAGCGTGATGACGAGGCTGATACTCATCATGGTGTGGAGGAAGCTTATCAGGAATCCCAACACTTACTCCAGTCTCTTTGGACTTATTTGGTCTCTCATCTCATTCAGGTTGATTCATTTTCCTTCTCTGTTTTTTTCCCCTGTTTTTTTTATATGTATTTACTATATCTAATATTTTGTTATCAATTTTATTTTTTTTCAGGTGGAACATTCAAATGCCCTCAATAGTGAAAGGTTCGATATCGATTTTGTCCGATGCAGGCCTCGGCATGGCCATGTTTAGCCTTGGTATTTTTTCTCACAATGTTGATTTGATTAAAAAGAAAAACTACTTCCTAATTCTATTTTTTCTTTTCCCCCTGTTAATTAACTATATTTTTGTTCTTTATAGGTTTGTTCATGGCTTTGCAACCAAAGATCATAGCTTGCGGAAAATCGGTGGCCACATTTTCAATGGCGGTAAGGTTCTTAACCGGCCCAGCTGTCATTGCCGCAACTTCCATTGCCATTGGCCTCCGAGGAATTCTTCTGCACGTCGCGATTGTTCAGGTTCAAAACATGTTTAAATTTTCTTGATTTGAAATCATCTTAATTAACATGATTAATCAGCATTATTGGTCATTTTTTTTGGGTGTAGGCTGCCCTTCCACAGGGGATTGTACCCTTTGTTTTTGCAAAAGAGTACAATGTGCATCCAGACATACTTAGCACTGCGTAAGTTTTTAACTTTTCATATTAAATATGCAAAGTGAACAAATGAACATTTCATTTATATGTGACTTTAAAACTGTGTTTCTTAATTGACTGCAGGGTTATTTTTGGAATGTTGATTGCCTTGCCCATCACAATTCTCTACTATGTGCTTCTTGGAGTATAAAGCCTTGTTTGGCAGATCAAGAATCGAAAATTGGGTGATTGGGATTGATGAATAAAAAGTAAGAAGTGGATAGAGTAATCAAAGGTGGAGTAAGATGAAGCTGCATGCATTCATGCAGGAATTTTAATTGGTTTTTTTCCTTTGGAATCAGTGCACAAGTTGGTAAACCATATGCAGACTGCATGTGGGCTCTTTGATGAGCTCATAATTATACAAGTTATAATTCATTTTGAGTATTCCTTTTGTGATTAAGTTTGTTATTTTTTTATTTTATTTTTTAATGTTGTGTCAATTGTTTTAGAAAGTGAGGTGTAGATCATAGAGGAGCTTCGATGAAGATGTTAGTGTATTTTATTTGTTTTTTGTGTTTTATTTTTTGGCATTATTGTTTGTATGGTTTTATCCGGGTGTTATGCAATAAATGATTAAATTAGCATCAAACTACTTTGTTTTAGAAGTTTGAATTGTCTTGGTTTAATGAGTTCGTTTGGAGAAATTGATTATAAATAAACATTATCTTTCAGTTCAATTAAAGTTATGTTTTCCTCATTATATATTCTGCTGGTAAATTTTCATCTTATTTTTGTGGGCATTGATTATACAGGATTTTAATTGTTGGACTACCATATATCTATACGAGTTCGTGTTAATTTCCGATAGATAAAAATTCGATGAAGGCACGATCGAATTTGGGTATATATTCCGCTTCGCTCTTTGTATAACTTTTATAATATGTCAATAGGTATAAAATCCAATACTGTTGGTAATTTTAATTTTCACAATCTTCTCCGTGTGAAGGGGAAACAAAATACATAAATCTCCCCTTGTATTCACTCGAAATGGTTGGGAAAATGTAAATACACTAGTAATTTAGAACAAATAATAAATTTATTATATAAATTTTGTGATTGCAAAAAATATCCACTAATTAATTAAATCAAGAACATTATGCCTCATCACATGAGTTGGTATAGGCATTTTCTGTTATCATTTAACGAATAATTTTTACATTTGTTTGCATATTGTGTTTGATTGTTATTTTATTTTCTACAATCTAAAATTTTATGGACAAATTTATCATGATCGATAAATTATTGGACTTATTTTAAAACTTTAAAAAAATGTTATAAAACCTTGAAGTAAATCACAAGATTAAAAGGAATAAATAAACACAAACCAATTAAAATAATTGTTATTCAACAATTTACCGTTGGATTGTGAAATGTATCATATTTCTTTAGGTGGACATGAAAAACCTAAGTCTGACACCATGTTAATTAGAAAGTTATACAAGTTGATTATTCCTACCAATCATATTTATTTAACTCGTATATTCTTAACGACAAGATCTTGTCACACGGAAAGTCAAACAAGAAAAAATGAGTTGGATATGTCAGCTTGATTGATCTAAACTTGAGTTTTGCTTCTATTCTATATCACATTTTTATATACATTGGAAAATTATAAAATTGTGCTTTGGGACTTGATGAGCCAATTATTTCAAGTCATCCTTCCTCCGACATTCATCAATTTATTAATACAAAAATTTGTGTGAAACCAAAATAAATAAATGAATGAAGTATTATTAAAAACAATAAAAAGATAAATATATTTTCATTCAATGTGAAATATCTGGCAAAAAAATAAAATTGTTTTACATCTGGTATTATCAGAAGACGATGACGCAAAAGACGTACTGTTTAACATTCAATTATTTATCTTATGTGTATGTTTTAATTTTTCATTTTTATATTATGTGTATGAAAAGGGTTAGGGCATGTGGGACATTGTCTAGTGCATGAAGCAAAGGGACATTTCGTCATTTGATTACTGGAATATAGATCAGGCATGTTACAATTATGTTATAAATACAGTTGTGAGTGTACTTATTTAGTTAATCTAAAAAAATTACATATAAAAATAACTATTACCTATGTTTTTAACAGCTCAAATTTAGTTACATGTGCTGATTTTGCTCTGAATATTGTACCTTTTGAACAAATCATACTGTTAAATTGAATTCAGAATGGATTAAAATAGTTATTTTCGTAGTATCTTTTACAAATGCGACACTTTACCCTGATGAGAAAATACATTTAACATTTTTCTGACATTTAATTGATTAGGGTGAGTGAGTGATAACAGACTAATATTCATTAATTACACAAGTCAATAAGGTGGGATTGGATATAAGATATTTTGATTGAAAAGTTATCTAATTGAAAAAAGTGAGTTAGAGAGTGAGAAATAATTCTAGTGGCACAAGGAAATTGTTTTTAGACTATAAATGAATATATGATAAGATGTAATGATAATTAAAGTTGTTACATAGAAATTATGAACTAATATGTTTCATATTTTACAATTTGAATTGAAAATAGAAAATAACAATACAAAAAATCTTAATCTGGGAAGATAAAAGAATCTAGGCGAGAGTTAATGTTTTCGCAAGACGAATGCACCCCGTATAATGTGCTGACGGGTTCAAGCATTTCGTCTCCAAAGATATAACGACTACGTCATAGAATCTATAGGACTTTCAGACTTTCGAGCTCTTGCGAACTTAAATAGAGCAAAATTGGACACTACGTAAGATGCGTGAGACTTTTAGATATCAAGAGTTCAGATGATAGATGAATGTACTTTTACAGCTCTATACAAGTCCTATAAATAAGGCTTTCACCCACATGGTTAAGCAACCATTAATTGTTTGTAACAACAAACTAATGGTCGTTGTAATGAGCTCAAAACGATTGGGCCGTTTTCAGGTTCTAGTGAAGGTCATACAGGTTGGATACAGATCCGGTCAACAACCCAAATCAATTTGGGTAGAAACTTTGCTAATAGTTGTTGAGCCCAAATTTCAAGCCCAACAAAGGCCCTGACCGTCCAAGATTGCCAATTCCAGCCCACTTGTCCAGTCCAACTCCAAGTCCTTGCCCAGGCTCAAATCAATATTGGAATTTTTTAAGGAAAAATTTTGTTAATAAAAAGAGGCGACGAAAAACAAAAGGCTAGTCCCTCTCTAAACTTTCTCCTCATAATAGTGCATTTTCTTAATCATATGCTAAATAAGGAGAAAAAAAAAAATCCAAAGAG